TGACAAAGTTCTTACTCCCCTCCGTGCTTCGAAGTTTGTTTTTCGATAAGTCCTCGAGTGAAACAGGTCCACGGGGTTGGCGGATGGGTGTTCGCCGGCACGGGCTTGGCCAGGGCCAAAGGTGCCTGTCAGAGGAGTGGGCAATGAGGCGGTTGTTGGGAGCAGTTTTATTTGTATCGCTGTTGATCTTTAGAGCGGAAACAAAAGAGGGTGTCTTCTTATGATTACGACGAAAGGCGTTGGCAGACGGTGGAGGAAGTGGGGTGACTTCTTGTGGAGGGGATGGGGCAGCTCTCGGTGGTGAGGGAGATGGTTTGTAATGGACAGGCGATTGACTTGACTCCGGGGGAGGGGAGACTTCAGCATGGAAAGTTGGAGTTTCCGCCACAGGAGACTGGAACTGCTCATGGTAGATCGTTGAGGAAGGATCCTCATGCTGCTGCTGCTGTTGTGGCAGGCTGTTGTCCATGACAAAGTTCTGCTGGCCAGTCATGGGATTGTAGACAGAGAACAGGCCAGGGTGTCCAGGCACCGGCTGCACAACTGGTTGTATGCCCAGTTGTGCTTGCTGCTGGTAATAACCCACTCCCGGGGTGGTTGGTGACATCACTTGCTGCTGAGAGGCCATCGAAAAACCAAGGTTCAACCCTTGGAATTGCTGCGCGGCAGCTGTGACTGAGGCTAGCTGTTCCTGCAGACGTTGTTGTTGGGCAGCAAGGAAAAGGTTTGTCGAAACCAATTCTGCATACAACTTTTCGTCAATAGGTTCTCCATTCTCGTCAATTGGGAGATCAATTGTGGGAGGCGGAAGTACGTGTTCTGGCAAGGAGTACATTTGATGTCTACTGTTCGACTGGGAGCCGAATGAATTAGCGTGATTGGGAAACAATGCTCCAGTTGATGTCATCGGGACGCGCTGGACATAGGAATTTGGCTGAGCACCATATCTGGAATGATCCAACGATGGATGGGGCTGCTGATGGGACAAGGGAGCAGTGGCGGGTGCCGGAGAATGCTTTGGAGCAGTTCTCAGTCCAGCCAGGAGATGGGAACGACTAGTGCGTGGCGTGGTAACTGAAGGGGAGGACGTAGATTCATTAATGGACCCAATATTTGACGGGTGAGGGACACTGAGACGTTTGATGTGAGAACCCTTCCCACGAGACGCGAAACCAGAACCCGGAACGCCAAGGGAACCGCCATTGAAAGACATGTTATTGTAAGTCATCTGAGCTAGACCGCCAGCGTCCATGCTCAAAGGTCGTGGGAGTAAAGGGAAATAAAATTGGAAATGGATTTATGTAGGGACGTATATTCGTAGAGGCGAGAGAAGGGGAATTATATGTAGTAGGAAAAAAAAAAAAAAAAAAAAAAAAAAACTGTTGTGCCCGGGCTTGTCTGCACAAGAAAACTGCCTAGCTTGCGAGCCAACGAGATGTTGCAGAAATGGTCAGTTGGTGGGTATCCACAAAAAAAGGGTTTGAAAATGGATCAAATTCACGCAAAATATGCGTTTTTAGGGCGCGTTCGAGGCTTATCCACGGAAGGATGGGTTGGAGATTCGAAGAAATTAAGAAATTAAGAAGTATTCGTTCAGGAAACGCTATTAGAAAAGGTATCCCCAAAGTAGAGTGTTTCGATAGAAACGGTCGACGGGTTGAGTTTAAACAGAAATAAAATAAATCACACTCTTCTAGGGCAGCAAGGTTCGAGTTAGCATCAGATTCAAACGAGGGGGAATACCATATATGGATGCTGAAATCAGGTTATACATACCGGAAGAAGCCAAGTTCAGCTATAGAAGAAGCGAACCTGCAGGCGATTAAAATGGATATACAAGTGAATATAGTTTCGTCGTTTGGCGAACGGGCCAGTTAAAGGAGAGAGTGACTGCAAGGCGCGAGGCGTGACGAATAAAATAGGAGAATAGTAATAATAAGAGTAATAACGATAATTTTGGGGTAAGAGCAGTGGGAATTAGCGAGAATAGTGAGATGTCCAAGTGGAGTTCTTGAACGCCGTTTGAGCGTGCGGGTTTTGGGTGTCTGTTGCGAGTTCCGACGATGGAGAGATTTGCACTGCAATCCCAACAAAGAGCGACCGGAGAGCAAGCTGAACGGAAGGAATTTTTTTGAGGGTATTTTCTGTACGACGAAATAAATAAAAAGCGGCAATCAAAATATAAAAAAGGCGAGATTGGACTTTTTATAGCTGTTCTTTTGTTGAAACCACGACGAAGAGGATCGGAGGACGAACGAATTCAAGCGTAAGGAGAGTCGAGACAAGGATTGAGATATGGTATGACAACTATAACGACGACGATGAAAGGAGCGGGCCGAAAACGCGGTCGTTAAAATCAGGATTTCAAGATCCAACCAGCAGGGCGACGCGATCTAACAGAAAAAGGCAAAAACGGCGAGGGCAAAAAACGGAGATATTAATTTAAATCGACGACAGAAAAACCTAGACCCAAGTCTTCATCCACTGATTCAAGCCCGATGTATCTTCTTCCTTAATTTCTTCCTTTCACAAAGTGTCTCTGTTTTGGTTTGTTTTGGAACGGAACAGGATGCTGTTGCTGGTGTTGATGCTGTTGGTATTGGGGCCGAAAAAAGGGGGGTTTGCCAAAGAGACGACAGCAAAGGGAAAGCTTTTTTTTTTTTGTTTCCAGGTGAGACACAGAGCTGGATAGAGAGCCAAGGACGAAAAGAGACGGCGACAAGGAAGAAGTGCGAAAGAAAAGAGAATCTGAGATACGGGCCACGCAGAGGGCGAAGGAGACGGGAGAGGAGGATGGGCGGTGAAGACGAAGATGTACGACGAAGAAGAAGCAGAAGAAGAAGAAGACGAAGGAAGATGTCGACGAAGATACGAGCAGAAGACAAAAAGAGGGGCGGAGGAGAAGAAGAAAGGAGGCGAGAGAGAGAGAGAGAGAGAGAGAGAGAGAGAGAGAGAACAGACAAGGAGGAGATGTAAAAGAAGAGGAGAGTTCGACGCTGCGGGCGGAGAGCGCAGAGGG